TTGGTAATTTAGCATAGCTATAGGAAACGGCCAATTTGTAGCAGATTTTGCTGTTAAAATGGTGATTTCCATAGCTGTATTAGTTTACCAGAGGGTATGTAGAACATTCCATGATTGGAAGATATTCCAATGGATGTAAACTGTAGAGTTTTATATGGGCAAAGAGTTTATATTCCGATAGGTGCTGGGAGCAAACTAGAACATGGCCAAACTACAATAATGAAAATTAAATTAATATACTATAAGCCGGTTGTGAAGCCTGCAGCTGAGTTGCACCAACTAAGTTTCACCAAAAATGATGAGCAACCCAAATGGAGATGGTTCCAAACTCACAAATCCGGCCCATGGCGCCGTTACAAAACCGAAAAATGTATTCATCAATAGATCAGTTGACATAATGGTTTCATTTGAAAAGTGTCATACTTATTTCACAGTGTATCCATGTTTAAAATGATCCAGTTCTTTTACATCATTTGACAGAATTGACATTTTAGGAACAAGTGAATGGGGTTTTATTCCCACTATAGTTGGGTAAACGAACTGGTGAAGTGAAACTCTTGGGAATATGGTCCATTTATGAGTACTGGGAGCCATTGTGCGTGATCAACGTTTTTTAAGTGGTTCCAACATGGTTAGTTGTTTAGTAGGTCCCTTGGTCGCCCTCATGTTTTAAAGATCAGAACCCAAAGAAACTATGGATTCGCTGGGGAAATCTTCCAGGTTGGATGATTTTGACCCCAGAGTACAAGAAACCCCATGGAACCCATTTTTTTTGCGTATGTTGCAGACCACACTTAGTCATGCGTTTGGCTGATGAATTTATGAACGGTGGCTGCAGATGCAGCAACATCCTATTTGGACGATGCGACAATGCATAGAAATAGCCAAATCGAAAAGTCATCCAAGCTCTTGCAGGTTTTGCGCCCTAGTTTACGCCAGCAGAATCAGCAAAGTTGTCAGAAAAGTCACTTGAAATGGAAAGTGGAACCCATGAAGATCAGTCAGTTTCCCACCACAATTCAACCAAATTGCCCAACCAAAAACAACTCCACTGGATCTCAGGCAGATGATTTACAAACCCTCTGGACCCGCGGTTTTCCCAGGTGGATGATGAGCATGAGGAGAAGGTGTCGGCAGAGAAGATGAAGGCGCTTTCACCTCAGATCTTTGATTCAGATGTCTTTTGCGCAGGATTGAAGTGGTAGATGTTGCGAAGGATGTTTGGTGAAAAAAAAAGCTGTTTCACTGTTTCACTTTCATTTTCTGGTGGATTTCTGGTGCGCCAGGAGTGTCAAGTGGCACAGGCGGCCCACCGCACCGGGTGATAAAATCAGCCACCTCAGCACGATTTCGCCTTGACGATGGAAATCATTACTACATTATCTGGTTGGCGGTTTGGGAATAATAATAATAATAACAATTATTATTATTATTATATTATTATTATTATATGGGAATATTAGTCAGTTGCCATTAGTCAGTTGGAATATGACACTGGGTTTTCTCAACATGTTTTTCCCATATATTGGGAATAATCAGCCCAACTGACTTTCATATTTTTCAGAGGGGTAGGTATACCACCAACCAGATTATGATGATGCAGATGCTGAAGTAGTACGGCTGAATTGCGCATGGAAAGAGGCATGTAAAATGGTCGATATTGTTGTTCCGATAGCTGCCGAACGTTTTGCCAGACAAGCTCGCGCTGATTTGCTATAGTGTTATGAATATCACAAGCAAGTTCATCCAACCAGGGAAATCATAATGATTCATGATTTTGGGCGCCTGCCGCATGCAAATCCACATCCAATTAGAATCAACAGTCCATGGAAACCATTAAATTCGAATGATTCTTGTTGGAAAAGTCAAGACCATCAATCAAAAACATTCAATTCATGATACTACTTTAAGTATTCATCATAATTATATGTAATCATAATTATTATTATAAATAATATAATCATATGTTTAGTTTAAATGCATGGCTCACTAGTTAGATCAACCCAGGCGCCCGAGCTGGCCGAGATTTTCTCTGACGCCGCCACCTGCGTGGTGCTGCTGCGGAGATATTTGAGCCAGGCATGGTACACCTTGAATGGAATGGAAGAATGGTTAAAGCTTGAAAGAACTCTATAGAATCAAAATAAAAATCGCTGTTATCATTTCTCTGTATCTATGAAATGAATAAGATTTCTGGCCATGTTTTGTATTTGTTTAAATGGCTGTGTTTTTTCTGGCAATACCAAAGAGTGAGTCCCGTCAGAGTATTTGCCCCGCGCGAGGCACAGTGGGTTGGCACCCTGAATGGTGCACTGATCTTCGAGAAAGACGGAGTGCTATATCCACTGTGCCGCTCTCAGATGGAAAAAGCGTAGTCTCATAGTGGAGGAAAGTGCCCCTATTTCATGGCCTTGACGAAGTATGGAAAATTATAAGATCATGACATGATGCTGATGATGATGATGATGATGGGGAGGAGGAGGAGGAGGAGGACGATGACGATGATGATGACGATGATGATGACGATGATCATGATCATGATCATGATCACGATGATGATGATGATGATGATGACGAGGAAGAGGATGATGATGATGATGAGGAGGAGGAGGAGGATAATGATGACCAGGAGGGGGAGGAGGATGACGATGATGATGACGATGATGCTGATGATGATGATGATGATGATGATGGGGAGGAGGAGGAGGATCATGATGCTGATGATCATGATGATCATGATGATGATGAGGAGGAGGAGGAGGATGATGATGGTCATGATGCCGATGATGAGGAGGAGGATGATGATGACAAGGAGAAGGAGGAGGAGGATAACGATGATGATGACGATGATGATGATGATGACGACGATGACAATGACGAGGATGATGATGACGATGACGATGACGAGGAGGAGGAGGAGGAGGAGGAGGATGCTGATGATGATGATGACGATGACGAGGATGATGATGATGATGATGACGACGAGGAGAAGGAGGATGATGATGATGCTGATGATGATGACGATGATGACGATGACGAGGAGGAGGAGGATGATGATGCTGATGATGATGACGATGACGAGGATGATGATGACGACGAGGAGGAGGAAGGGGGAGGAGGAGGAGGGTGATGCTGATGATGAGGACGATGACGATGACGAGCATGCTGATGATGACGACGAGGAGGAGGAGGAGGATGATGATGCTGATGACGATCATGATGCTGATGGTGCTGGTGATGCTGATGCTGATGCTGCTGCTGATGGTGACAATGATGGTGATCGTGATGCTGATGCCGATGGTGATGTTGATGATGGTCATTAAGCGATAGGTAAAATCTCATGTGATGAAACATGCGATGGGTTTCCCAGCTTTGAACTGCGTCGGTGAAGGCAAGGAATTTTCGGGGTAGCCATTTTGTTTGCCTGCCAAATCATCGGGTTCAGGAGGCATACCTCACATTTTACAACCACCGCTGTTGACCATCAACCATGTACATCCATGTAACAGCTTGGTCCCGCAAATCCAAGTTGCAGTAGCCATGATTCACCCATTTTTCTCAGAGATTGTTCTACATCGTGCTTATAACATGTAAATACATAGAACAAAAAGTGGGGGTGTTTATATGTGTTTATGTCATATTCTGTTTTTCTATAGGTTTACCATTAAAACCATATCACCATATCACCATATTACCATATGTCATATTCTGTTTTTCTATAGGTTTACCAACCAAAAATCCATATCACTGATATCACCATCATTTTTGTGAAGCGGCACCGGCATGGCCCAGGGAGACCACCACACCTGTGCGCGAAAGCGCCACAGCCGGCGCCGAGTTGCTGAGCCTGGGGATCCCAGGATACTCCCAGGGCGATGAGGGGCTCCATGACATGTTTTACCAGTAAACATACCAAAAAAAGGACGGAAAATCACCATGTTGATTGGGCAAAATGGAAAATTATCACTTTTAATGGGTAAATCAACTATTTCTATGGCCATTTTCAATAGCAATCGCCATAGAACTAGTTGATCTACCCATTAAAAGTGATGATTGTCCATCGTTTTTTTTGTATGTTTACCAAAGGGTAAACACCTGATGATTATTTACTCATGATTTCCCTTTGAAAGTGTTTATTCACATTTTAAAAAAAGAACATCTAAAAAAACCCTTTTTAGGGGATGAACTATTTAAGATTCTCATGATTCATTTATGTGTATATTGAACTATTGAAATTGTTTGGAGATGTTCAAGTTGAACTGTACGAATATTCTACTCATGATTCATCTTGTTTTCCCTTTTTGGGGGATGGAAAAATGAAATGCAAATCATCCCATGAGGATTGGATGGATCAACTCACGCACGCCTCAAGGCGCTCACTGGAAAATCGGTCATTTGCACACTTTACCTATTTGGAGTGTTGAATTTCCAGCCAGCCTGTTGGTGTAAATGGTCTGTTTCGTGTATCTCACCAATTCTTGGTTGATGCAAACCGCATTAGATATACATAGTACTGTACACTGATGATTACATAAATATATATAAATATAGATCATACCCATCATACCCCACATGGACATACCTATATGCATTCCCATTTTGATGCATGCTACAGCCATCTTTTCGGTCAGCCCAAAGCGTTGCAAAGCGAGGTCTGGGTTCCCTCTTCGCGATCGCTACCTTCCATGGACACCTAGGCTGTCAGATGCAGCGAGTCATCGATATGACCCACCAAAAATGGGGATATCAATGGGGAGATGGGGGGTTCCATAAATGGGGATACCCAAAAATGGATGGTTATTTGGGAAAATCCTACTAAAATTGATGATTTGGGAAAGCATTTCCCATCAGAAGTAGATATATCACCATATTCCCCGGGAAATGAGGCTGTGGAATATGTGCGATTTGGTTTGACCCATAATGGGGAAATTGTATTACAATGGTGATAAACCAACAAGAATGATGGTTTAACCAATACATATTCATTGAAATGGTTAGTATAATCTGGGTGAATTGACTAGATGCACACTTTAGTACTAACTAATATGTTGCTGAAAGTGGTGCATCAGGGTCTCTAAGATTGGCCATAAAAGATTGCGCTTTCACCCGAAAAGATTGTGAGAATGATCCGTACATGGGTGCTGTTTCATTGCCAGGTTGGATTACCAGAAGGTAAAATTAACCCAAAAAATTGGGTTAAACCATGGTTGAACCAATAAAAAAGGAGCTGTGAACCCACAAGCAGTTGTTTTTTAAGGCTATTTAAGGCGTGCTTTCGAATATGTGCCCCCTTGGTCTCTGAGAAAAAAAATAACTCGGCCAGGCGGTGCGACACCAAAACTGCTAAAAAGCCAGGGAACTCAGGAGACCTCGTGATTTCTGGTGACTTCAAAGACTTTAGGGCAGTCACCATAGGAATAGCTTGATCCGGTTGTATCCCATCATATTTCTATGGCACTATGGTTTGTTTCGTGCCAGTTCCATTGCGCAATATCCACCTTTAGGCCGAATCCTCCAGCTCTGATGCCCTTTTCCCATTGGTTTATCGATGAGTAGAGAGGCCGCCCCGGCCATGGGCGGCTGAAATGGAAAAAAAACACTTAACCTTCTACTTTTGCTCGCTTCTGGATGTGTTTTGGACATTTTTCCATATTTTTCCCACGTTTTGGTGGTTGAACCCTCCGGCTGATGTTCCAATGCCGAGGTTTGAAGGCCAAAAAGCTCCCACCATCGCGGCATCTCCTGGAGCTCGCTGATTATCTCTTGGGCAGGCCATGTGTGACATACTCTCTCTACAATACAATAGCTCAATATATCCATGTATACATGTACACATATTGTGAATACTGTATATCTTACATATATAGATAGATTAGATTAGATTAGATTCGATTCGATTAGATTAGATTAGATCGAATAGATAGAATAGATAGAATAGATCGAATAGATAAAATAGATAGAATGGATAGAATAGATAGAATAGATAGAATAGATAGAATAGATAGAATAAAAAGAATAGATAGAATAGAAAATAGAATAGAAAATAGAATAGAAAATGGAATAGAAAATGGAATAGAAAATAGAATAGAAAATAGAATAGAAAATGGAATAGAAAATAGAATAGAATAGAAAGATAGATAGATAGATAGATAGAGATATATATAGATAGATAGAGATATATATAGATAGATAGATAGATAGATAGATAGATATGTGCCACTTACAGATGGGAAGAACAGATGCCATCCTCCTAATTGATCCTAAGAATTGCCGGTTTTCAGAGAGAGTCATTTTCCAACCCATCTTTTCCAGGATGTTAGTTGGAAGGATTACGAGCGTTCAAAGTAAAGATGGCCCTAGACTTGGATGATTTGATGTTTAACAAATGCTGCACGCCAATGGGCCATGGCCACCTGTGATTGTTCGGATCTGAAGAATTTTTGAGCGGTTCAAGGGCGGTTCAAGGGGTATGTTCTGGACATAGATATTTAATTTTATCGGTTTTTTGATGCATGTCGAGGGCCAAACAAAAATCACCAGCGTAATTCATCGAATAAATAGAATTTTGCCGCAAAATCCAGCAGTTGTATCTTTGGAATATTTTCCCATACAAGAATCCTCAGCAATGGACAACGTGCCATGGTTATGGTTTGCTGACCATTCCAATTGTTTCTCCAAAACGCAACGTTCGCCAGGCGCGACACCTGCTGCCTTTTGCTCAGTTCCAGCAAAGCCAAAGAGGTTTGGCAGTTTTGCTTGGAATTCTGGGGAATTGTTTGGGACGTCTTCGTTTTGGTTTTCCCAAACACAAAGCCGCGCGAAACCATATGTTTTCCTTTAAAAAATGTGGGGACATGAAACTATGTTATCGTGTTGTATCCTATGTCATGATCTATTGCGATAATTCTGGAAACCTTTGAACGCTGACTGGTGTAGATTCTTGGATATCTCCCAACCATACAGGGTGAAATCACCCGTCTACTCGCCTTCTTTTGTTTAGTTTCCAGGATCATCCCAGAAAAATCGGATATCCTGAAGAGTTCCAGTTGAGTTCCAGATTCCCAAAATACTCACCATTCACCATTTGATGTGGTAAGCCCGACAGTAAACCATCTCCCAATGAATACATGTAATACATGTTACTTAGCATTTGGATGGTATTTTGACGAAATAAATGCCCCAAAAGTACAAGTGGTTATTGTTTTGGGTTTACCCCTTGACTGTAACAAAAACCGTTAATGATCCCGTGTTTTCAACTGTGGCAGGTATCACCTGCTCGACCTTCGCGCACAGTGCTTCCCAAGGCAACGGATGGCCATTTTTTATGGAATGGTGAGATCTTAAAGATGTTTGAAAGCAACACCAATTTCCCACATTGATGTAGATTATGTGAGGGATTCGATAAAGGTCATTCAACATCCAATGTAAAGGATGCGGGCGTTATGGGTGGCTGGTGAAATGGTTCTCCCAATTTACCTTGATCCCCAGCTTCCCGACTTGAGGATCTGATGATCTGAGTTCCCTTTGGCTATGAACGTCTATAAATATTTTTGAAGCACAGAATGGTTGCAGCAGTTGTGAGCACCTAATTGCAGATCTATACTAAAGTATAATCTATATACATACACATACATGCATGCATGCATGCATACATGCATACATACATACAGACATACAGACAGACATACATACATATACTGTGCATATATATATATATACATATATTATTATATTATACAATTACTATACTAGATATTATAATGATTGAGTATATACTCTATCATCAACATCCGTGTGTGCTGTATAGACATGGACACTCTCCCTAGGGAAGCGGCGAGCCAACGCTGGAGACTCAGGAGCCGATAAACGGTAAACATACAGGATCCGATATAGAAATCCATGGTTTTCACCAGGGAAATTGATCTAGAGACGGTGGGTAACATAGAGTTTTCTATGTTCATTGGAGATTTATCAAGTCAAAAATCTGACGAGTAAATCTAGCATTTTACTATCAATGAACATCATTGGATGGTTGGTGGAGCTGATGGTAAATTGGGATGAGTCACATAAGATGAATTGGTGGTTTGCAACTGAATTATCAACCAAAACTGTCGACTATACCCATGTTTGCCCTTCAATTATTGGCATTGTTTATTGGGTTTATCATATTGCCAGCCATAAAAACTGATCATCTGGCGTTTCGTGAACGTGAAGGAGCTTCTTTAGGTCATCTTTCGCAGCGGGACAGTAGTGAAGTATGCATAGAGCTAGGGATGCTAGGGATGAATATCCCCAGAAAATGGGGAAGAAAACGTTTTGAGGCCAGATTTTGAGGCCAGAAAATGTCTGTTGTCGCCAAAACACCAGCGGCTATACTTTGAACATCGACTAGGGATATACCGTGAATATTTCAGGATGGCACACCCGATTGTTTGGCAAAGGAAATAGCCTGATGCCCTGAGATGCAACTGATGTGGTTGGGCTGATATTGGGAATCTGACGACTTCTTCAAGCTACAAGATTGCGGTATAAAAATTGGTAGATGGATGGAGATCAACCAACATCACTGAACAAGATTTGGCTGGATTGAAAAGAATTCTCACGTGCTCCATCTCCACAAGAAATGATCCAAGTGCACCTCAAATATTGGTTGCATAGATGCTCCAGCTGGGTAGGATATGGTTTAGTCTGAAAACAGGTTCCCCAAAACTTGATGCGCCATCATATTGGTTCCATAGACATGTGCATTTTTTATTTTTTGGGAGGAATAGCCCATTTTCAGACATACTCAGATATGATCATACCCTCTGGTAATTTAACGTAGCTATTGAAAATGGCCATAGAAATAGTGGATTTTCCCATGAAAAATAGTGGATTTTCCATAGTTATGTTAGTCATTACCAGAGGGTATGTCCCATAGAATGGGGGTTTTCCATATGATCCCCATCAACCATTTTGGCCATGTCCGAGGCCTCTGGAGGAACTGAAATCTTTGCCGGGACAGGCAGGGTCAGCCAGGATGGCAGGGGAAAATGATGGATTTATGATGGATTTATGATGGTCCTATGATGGATTTATATTTTATGATGAATTATGATGAATTATGGGGGTTTATGACTATTTGTGAGGATTTATATGGAATTCTGATGTTTTCAGGATTTATGATTGTCTTTTGGGGATGTCAACCACCAACAGGATCTGACCAATGAGGAGTTCAGCAACAATTTTGCCAGAGTTTTGCCAACATTTTATAGCCAAAAAGGCCATGACCGGTCGGTATTGGTGAGCATCCTTTAAAAGGAAGGGGGGTTCTAGATAGGTAAGTTGCTTTATAACAATCGTGACTAGGATTTCTGGTGGATATATTATGATATATCTATAGTCAAAATTGGGTTGTACACAAACTTATATCTCGGGGACCCTTCCTGTAGCTTGGATTTATTCGAAATTCTCCACACCTGAGGGTCGAAGTCCTCCCCCCATCTGTGGGTCGAACTGGGATACACCATAGGCACCCAATGGGTTCAGGATTGCAATGTGGCACAGTCCATGTTATTTTGAAGATCTTGATGATGCTTTGACACCAAGAAAGTTGAGATGAACTCTTGTAGTCTTGGAATCTTTGGATTGGACCCATATCCATGGATATACATATATATATATACATATATATACATACATACATATATATATACATATATATATATATTATTTATACATATATATATATATGCACTATATATCCCATATTTGTTCAAGTGCTGGCACTGAAGTGGCCAAGTGTCTGCTCAGGTAGAAAGTGATGAGAGCGAAGTGGAGAACGAATCGTGGAGTGCCCAGCTTCACCGACGGCCTCACCGATATTGGCTAGCTATTCCCGGCCTTATCTGTTGCTTTCCCAGTGAATCGAACTGTGAGACACTGAGAAGCACGATTCAGTATTTGATGGGACGATCCGCAACGAGGACTTTCCTTCACACGCGGGGTTTCCTCACAATGCGTTGCACAAAAATTTAATTGAGATCCGAAATGCTTGACACTGATATCTTCAGCGACTGTAAAATGATTCCTTCCTTTTGGGACCACCACACTATTACTTCCAGACATCTGAAAAAAGTAGGCAGGCAATGCCACACTCCGCCACAGTACCCCTGAGACCTGTCTGGATAAAACTTAGTGGTGAGGCAATCGGAGAATCCAGCGCTTCACATGCCTTGGAGAATACCATATCCGGCTGTTTCATGTCATTTCTTTCTCGTATCCAAGGTAAGGCCAGATAGAAAAGATTAAAACCAAATAATCCAATGATAATCTTTTCTATCCATTGATCTATTGAATCTATTAGATATTCTGTATATCTGTTTTAGATAATCCTATGATCCAGGTTGCTTCATGTTGCTTCTCAGGTCCAGCTCGAGCGATGTGACGCAGGGTGAACAGGGTGAATCTGACCATCGGCCAAAGACACCGCTCGGAGTCTCGGGGAGCCTGGGGATGGAACCTGCAACAAATTACTGGTTGGGGGGGAAATAACATAGAGGTATTCCAATAACTATGGTTTCTAGATGTTTATTGTACTTAGAACATCTTAGAACATAACTATAGTATATAGTCAAGATATCCTGGTTGGTGGGAAACGGAACATGAATGGACTATGACTTTCCATTCGGTTGGGAATTTCATCCTCCCAACTGACGAACTCATATTTTTCAGAGGGGTAGGTATACCACTAACCAGATTGTGAATGGAGGGAAATGGCGCCATCTGCTAGGATTATCCAGGATTCAACGGGGGGTTATAATGTGTTTTATCACGTTTTAGAAATCCATGTCTAACTGGTACGGACCCATTATTGTAAGATTCCCAAGTAGGTAAGTGGAGCTCAGAATTTGTTTCCAAACATAGGAAAAGTGATGCTTATTGAGTCATAACGTGTTTAAGTCATACTTAACGCAGGTCATGCTATGTCATATTCAACAACCTTATACTTATCCAGGTCATACAGCATGGTTTCCTGGAAATCTTCCGATAAACCAATCAAGCGTAGATGTTACACTACGTATCAGCTACATATTAACACATATCACAGAATGCATGTGATATATATATATATTATATTACATGTAGAGAGAGAGAGAGAGACAAGATATACATACATACATACATACATACATACATGCATGCATACATGCATACATGCATACATGCATACATGCATACATGCATACATGCATACATGCATACATGCATACATCCCTACCTACCTACCTACCTACATACCTACATACCTACATACCTACATACCTACATACCTACATACCTACATACCTACATACCTACATACCTACCTACATACCTACATACCTACATACCTACATACCTACCTACCTACCTACCTACCTACCTGCCTACCTACCTGCCTACCTACCTATATATATATACTATGTGTACATACAAATATACATATTGAATAAAGATGTGTTCACAACAACAGGCCGAAGGCAATGGAGCCCGCTGAGCCGAACGGTAAAGTGTCGCAGGCGACGGGACTTTGACATTTTCTGCGCAAAATCATAGGGAAAACATTGGAAAATCAGGTTTTTCCATGGGAAAAGATAGGTTTTACCCAATGTTTTTGGATCTGTTGGGAAAAGACGGGAAAATTAGGGACCCTTTGGTTATAAACCATTTAGTACATAGATTAATGTGTTCCGCACAAATCAAAAGGGAAATCAGGTGTTTGATTGGAAAAGAGTCAGGAAAATCGTCAACACTTGATTTTCCAACTCGCAGGTGGAGAATTAGCATGTTTTAACAAAGTGGTATAAGGGGTATCCCAGGTTATTCACCCCGCTTCGCGTGGGGTGGCCGCCCACACCGCAGGTTTATTTCGGTCCGTGAGAGGGGCTAAGGGTGGTTTTCCTCCGTCAGGGCTCCCCAAGCTAAGAATTTTCACTTTCCCCCCCCGTGGGGGCTCCCCAAGCTAGGGAATTTTCACTTTTCCCCCCCGTGGGGGCTCCCCAAGCTAGGGAATTTTCACTTTTCCCCCCCGTGGGGGCTCCCCAAGCTAGGGAATTTTCACTTTTCCCCCCCGTGGGGGCTCCCCAAGCTAGGGAATTTTCACTTTTCCCCCCGTGGGGGCTCCCCAAGCTAGGGAATTTTCACTTTTCCCCCCCGTGGGGGCTCCCAAGCTAGGGAATTTTCACTTTTCCCCGCCGTGACAGCTTCCCAAGCTATGGAATTTTCACTTTTCCCCGCCTTTCCCAAGCTATGGAATTTTCACTTTTCCCTCCCTTGGAGGCTCTCCAAGCTGCGGAATTTCAAATAGCTAGACAACGACGCCTAGATAGTCCCCCAAATCCCGTGTTCTTTGAATGTGTTTCCATGTTTTTGCAATGGTTTCCTTCAAAGCACGGTACTTTACACTTTTGTCGCCATAAAACCGGTCGAAAACATAATGTTCGACAATGCTTCCAATTCCCTTATCTCCCCAACCGTTGAAAATACCGCTATTTACAGTGTTTTCTTCAATTTTTCCATGTGCCAATGCCGGTAGCCAACTCCAACATATATATAAGAAATCCTTCCAAAACATTGTTTTTGACAGTGTTTTTCCAATGTTTCCAGTCAAACAGACGGTAATTTACACGTTTTTTGCCATAAAGGCAGTAAATCCTTCCAAAACATTGCTTTTGACAGTGTTTTTGTAATGTTTCCAGTCAAGCATACGGTAATTTACACGTTTTTTGCTATAACGTCAGTCCAAAACACTTGTTTTTGCAGTGTTTTCAATGCTCTGGCATCCAAAAACCCTGCAAAATCTTGCTATGTACAATGTTTTTTTCATTTTTGGCCGTTTTTCCATTGCCGGAAAGCTACCAAAATGACCCAAAATTCCATTTCAATACCCTCTTGCGCTCAGACATCCAAAAATCCTCGAAAAATGTCGAAAACACCCCCGTATTCTGGTCTCGGTGCGAAACCGTTTTTGGCCCCCCCCCCCAGCTAAAGCTGATATAGCGACTGCTATATTAACAAATGTCATTGAGCATTTAGTGTTGCTGTTGCCCCCCAATAAGCACGCCTTCACCGCCAAAGCGGTGTGGGCGGATTTGTTGAAGTAAGCCCTGCAAGTTACGTTGGGATGTCTGGGAATCATTGTCACGATGGGGAGTGGCGATCCAGACAAAACATCCGGATGAAGATCAAGATCTATGGAAATTTATCGTTTCTGGTTTTTTCAAAGATCTCCGGTTTTTTTTGCTCTACAAAATCCGTTACCCTCTGGTAATTTAACATAGCTATTGAAAATGGTGATTTATAGTGGATTTACCCATTAAAAATGGTGATTTTCCATAGTTATGTTAGTTTACCAGAGGGTAGAACAACAACAAAACACCAAAATTCCAGGAGCTGCTGCCGCTACCGGAGCCGCCGGAGCTGGGCAAAAGGCGCCGGATCCTGGACCTACGAAGCTCGCAGGGGCACTCGGAAGGTTTTTTTTTCGATCCAAAATGTTGGATCCCTTGGGGATGCTGGGGAAAGCCACCTGGGAATAAGTTGATCTTTAGATATCTTGCTTAGCTGCTAGCATTTTTGGAAAAGGTTAGAAGTGAGCTTTGGGCACTTCGAAAAACACTTCAAGGTCTTGTGAATCTAAGGAATTGATTCGTCCATCCAACAGACCTTTTGAGACCATCTGAGTTTATCCTCGGCTACATCCACCACCAGCCGCACCGGCTTTCAGGTCAACCAATCGCCCTGTGAATTTGCGAGACCTGGTGCGTTCAGATACGATGGGATGTGGTGGATGGGTCGACAGGGAGTTGTTTTTTCCATTTTTGTTTCGTAAAATGTCTCACAATTTGGCCACTAAAACGGAGACGAAGATTTGTGAACTGTGAAAGTTTGGTGAAAATAGTAGGGATATACAAAGATCTATACATCTTACATCATTTTATATACATGATAAAGCCAGCAAAGCTGCGTTCAAAAAGCTGGCTGGTTTCAGATCTCACTTTCTCACCGCCAGGCAGTGGTCCGTGCACGGTTGATTCGGCCCGGCTCCCAGGAACAAAGATGCGGTGTTTACCCATGGTTTCTCAATGTGTTTTTTTTCTGCTGGGATTTCCCATCTAAACTGGTTGGTGGTTTGGAACATGAATGGATTATGACTTTCCATTCAGTTGGGAATTTCATCATCCCAACTGACTATATTTTTAAGAGGGGTTGAAACCACCAACCAGTATATATGTTTTTTTCAAAGGCAACTTAATGTAGTTGTCAGTGAAAAAGGTTGTTGAGAATGAAAATCCAGTTTTTTGTAGCTCTATGTGAACATCCTGATTTGTTTGGTGGTGAAAAAGTTGCAACACCCATCAAGCAGCAAGGTTGCAAAGGTGATTTTGTGGAGGAAATATGAAGGTCCCTGATAGAACAAGCACAGTATGAATCAAACTTCACACATTTTAGCACTTCTAAGTATCACCCTTTGGTAATCAACCATGGCAATTGAAAATCCTCTATCAATGGTGTTTTTTTATTGAGGAAAACATCGAACTAAATGGTGGATCATCATTGAATTCCAGATGGTGCAGGTTGGAGGCAGAAGAATTTGCGATGAAGCAGCTCGCTCAAAATCTGCAGGTGCCGGTGTCAGTTGGGCAGTTGTTTAATGATCAATTAAGTATTACCAAAATGCTCTAGATACAGTTGATAGTCTGAATATGTCTGAATAAACATAGGAATTGGGACGAAATGATGTGACAACAGTGACAAACTGTTGAGATGTGACACACGCAGGCCTTGACATTCTTTGCTCACCGTGGGGTGTCATCCAGAATCACGGGAAGAGATCTATCATGGACTCTGTAGTTACAGTATCAATATCTATCAGAGAAACCATGATATGGGTGTCAGATCCTGAACATCCTGAACTTTTTTATGGGGCGTCATATCGGAATTCCATGGGAATTCCCAGCCCTGAAGGCTTTCGGTGCTCCAATGACTCGACAATCTCAATTTGAGCTCCATGATTCGGTAAAAAATATCCCCTACATTCACTAGTTGATTGGGGATATCAACGAATATTAGGGGATTCTATACATGACTATACATGGTTGTATGTATATATATATGTCAATGATTTTGCTATTAGGGGATTGTATACACCTAATTATTGAATGTAAACCCTGGTTCGACAGCCAGGTTCAAAGGAACCACTGCGCAGCGGAGTTAGCTGAAGCGCAGTCGAAACGGCTAAGACTCTTTGAGGAGTCGCAGTGGCCGAAAGGCGGTGCTGTTGTTGGGGCCGAGTATGTGGTTGTTGGAATGCTTTTACCCTCTGGTTATGTCAAAATAGCTATTGAAAATGACCATAGAAATAGTGGATTTTCCCATTGAAAATGGTGATTTTCCATAGTTATGTTAGTTTACCAGAGGGTAATTTTTACTCATTGAGTTTGTAAATTAAAGAATTGTGCATTGCAATTTTACAATATCAATGATAGTATTAAAGTGTCAGCGGAGCAACCACCGACCACCTCTAAGCGGTGCTAAATAACAGGGAACCATCAAGTGGATGGCCCAACGAATCAGTTTTGGAATCTATGCACAATCACCATAGCCAATATTGGTTGTCACGAATCAAACTTTGTTGGTTAGCCCATGTTAGCCCCCATTGTTCTTCTTGTTTTTTCCCCTTTTGAATCAGCCAAAAAGCAGCTGTCACAACAAGCCGTCAAATTTGATGAAAGATCTGCAGCATATCGATATCTATGATATCTATTCATTTCCTATAGTTTTCTATAGTTTTTGTCCCTATCGTTTCCTTTCTGAAAACACCAGGCTTTCCCAAAAAGTAAGTTCTTGTCCCCAAGGCCGATCCAACGGATCCAACGAAACGCCAGGACTTTTTGGAATGTCTTCAGGTTGAGTGCAATGTGCGCTTACCCGATCTCGCAGGCCGGACCCTGAAGTCCCATGGGGTTTTTGTTTTGGAAAAGATCTGGTAAAACAATGTAAAACATCCATGGTGGAGTCTCCAACTAGTCACAACTCATCATATTACATATTATATATTATAGATATTTATAGATTTTATATTATATATATATATATATGTATATATACATATTATATATATACATATGTATCACCTAGTGATCTTGGGGTATCCCCAGTTCTGGGTGAAATCAGCACCTCACGTTCTCCAGGCTCCCCAGATCCTGAAGGTGATTTACTGTGCAGGCCATGGGGCAATCCGTGGGGCGAGTCTTCTCCGATTTGTGAAATGATATCTTGAGAGAAGATGATCGATGATGGAAGATGTAGTGAGATCCGAAGAAAGCCTTGCAGCTCTTTTCGATCTTTTCGATCCAGATCCAGCAGGTTGTTCGACTTTCTTCCAAGATGGCGGAAGGCGACGCCTGAGATGTCAACGCCAACGAACAGCGAGGAAAAGTCATGTGCCCGCACTTCAAATCGTCCAACTGCACATGTGGGGGGTTCCTAAGTCATAGGGGTACCCCCAAATCATCCATTTATAGATGGATTTCCCCTTATAAACCATCCATTTTGGGTATCCCCATTTATAGAAACCCCCATATTTGTTCTTCACCAGCTGCCAGTTGAGCCCTTGCCATCTTTGGAGTTGTTGACAGGGCAACAAATTGAGCGAGAAGCCACAAGCTTGAGTGAGACATATCTTGAGTGAATATCAGACTATGATCATCAGACTGTCAAACGATCAGAATCAATGTTCAAGTTTTAGCATCTAGTTCTTCCATTACAAATCGGTGATTTTGGGGAATGACTTCGCTTCAGAAAACGTGCGAATTTCGCTGAGTAAACTTCGCCATGGATTTGCTGCTTCTGCTAACCAGCGGTTTCATGGCAGCCGCCGCCCAGCCCATTGAGTACATCGGCTCTAACTACACAACCATCACCGTCACTACCGAGCGCTACTCTTGCAGTGGTCCTTTGACTGGTGGCAATGATGCAACGAAGATCCAAAGATACAACTTGGGAGACCACCGTTGCTCATATAAAGATGCATACTTTGAGTGCTCCGTTACAGGCTCAAAGGTGGGTTACTTTTCCTGCTCCAATCTGACGAATGACACGTTGATTGAAGAGTATTCGAACGGTGCCTGCTATCGATGTGATGAATATATGTTCCCCTGCGTTCAAATCTGGTTCAAAGGAAAACGCTATGATGGGAAATACTTTAAGCCTGTGTGCAACAGCCTATATTCCAACTCGGTGCAATCCATTGGTCAAACACGATGGACTTTGGCGCTTGCTGGTGCTATCCTGCTCGGTGGGATATCAGGATGATTTGCTGCTCACCTTTTCGTGCCATGTGCAAGTCAGATTCGCTTCCAAAGGAAGACGATATTGCCTGTTTCAATGCGGAGGCCGCTAAACTTAATGCGATTCGTCAAAAGTTTTGAGGACCACTATGATGATGGATATGGATATGGACACGGGTACGGGACGGATGCGTCAGTCAAGTTTCACCAAAAAAATCGACGGTCAATGGCAAGCATGACTGACACATTCCCTCGCTGCAGCAATTGACTGGCTTGTCAGCTCAGCACCTTCACAGAGATTGAACATCATGAACCCATGGGACCAGCAATGAGAACCAGCTATTCCCAACAGATGTACAACAAATTGTGTGTGTGTATGTATGTATGTATGTGTGTACATATATATATATATATATATATACGTATATATATATACATATATATATATATTATATGTACACATCATTCCCATGTTTTAACCTACTCAACACCCATGACTTGTCGCAGAGAAGCCTGCGCTGATCCATGGCAGCCTGTTCCCCGATGGTGCCATGGACAGCCCCCCTCCCAGGCTGGGACTTTCCGGCGGATGAGATGTACCAGAATATATCTCCCAACATAGTACAAATATCATCAAATATCATCAAATATCTACTGAAAAAAAAAGTGGTAGATACCTGGTAAGAATATATCTTCCACAAACATCATATATCAAATAGTGGTTTTCCATGTCTCTCTGTTTGTTGTCGGGAGTGTGGAGAATTCCGAGCGGTAGACCGAACGATGCCAAGGCGGCGCCGGCTGTCCATTTCTTGGGCAGACAAAGTGGCTGCCAAGCACTTGGGGAGTGCTACCACTTAAAACCAGCCGTTCTATTTTCCACTGGAAAATGAATTTTCGGTAATTTAAACCAAGAGCAAACCAAAGATCAATGACTCAGTATCAGTTTCAACTTGTTTCAGATGTCATTTACTTTCCATAAACATCGTGTTTTTCCATCGTTTTCCCATCGTTTTCCAGTGGGATGCCGGATGCCAAGGCCACCAACCCACAGCTCCGAGCGAATCGGACCGCTCCGTTGCTCGGAGAGCGGCAATGCACATGAGATCTACTAACTATTACAGTAATTATTGTGATTTGATTAACATTGTTTTACAATTATATATATTATTAATGCATTTATGATCTATTACTATTACAATTATGATCTATTAACTATTACTATTCATATTATTAACATTTGATTAACATTGATTATCATTGTTTTACAATTATATATATTATTAATGCATTTATGATCTATTACTATTACAATTATGATCTATTAACTATTACTATTCATATTATTAACATTTGATTAACATTGATTATCATTGTTTTACAATTATATATATTATTAATGCATTTATGATCTATTACTATTACAATTATGATCTATTAACTATTACTATTCATATTATTAACATTTGATTAACATTGATTAACATTGTTTTACAATTATATATATTATTAATGCATTTATGATCTATTACTATTACAATTATGAACTATTAACTATTACTATTCATATTATTAACATTTGATTAACATTGATTAACATTGTTTTACAATTATATATATATATATGATATGGTATAATTACGGCTATCTATATATTTCATGTATGTCGCAAATGAATGCAAATGAAAGATGATGACAACTTATGTGTTTTCCGGGAAAATAATGACGGGACACAATTTGTGTTTACAAATCAAGGTAGATGTGGGGGAAAAAAACATATAGTATGATTGATGCCATTCGACAGGCCATTTGGGGATACTTCAGGAGAACATTCTCAGTGTGCTTCCGTTTGAGACACCAAGTGATACAATATCACGATCCAATCAGCAGACCTTGTCAAGCTAAGATGTAGCGAAAGCGCCTTGACAATTTGCACATATCAAATATGTGATGTGTTATTATGTATGGTATGTGATGTATGGTGTTTGATATTTGGTCCAATTATCATACTACTCGCCTTCCTATTTGATTATCATATGTTTCATGATTCAGATATGAAATATCTATATCTACCCGAATGTATATGTATATGTGTCTATATGTATATATGCATGTATATATATATATACATATGTATATGTATATACATATGTATATGTATACGTGTTATGTCAGATTTGATATGCTTCATATCTGTATCTCAAACCATCACCATCTCCTCAGTTTCTCCACGAGGCCCGTGGTGCGTCTCCGAAGAAAGACAGCGTCCCAGGTTCGCAGGTTGGTCCAACGGAGGATCCCAAACTCGCCAAAACATACAGGATGGGGCCCCCCAGTGATGTTTGTTGGCTTATAAAGACCATTATAAATCCCCCATTGACTCAACATCTTTGGTGCTTAAATCACATTTTGTTTGCCGAAATCCACATTGTTTGGGGTCAACCTCCCTACAGGATGACAGGATGAGGCCCTCTAGGTGCAATTTCGCTGTCATGGAAGGAGTTCCTATGGTCAGAACAAATCATTTCATTACAGTGAACCTAAGTCTCATTGAACCATCACTACTCTGGTGGCCATTCCAGCTATCAACAGGGGGTTGAAGTGTCAAGTTGTCAAGGTTCAGGATGTTAAGGCATTCTCATGTTGTGCATTTGGATTCATTTGTCATCCTTAGAATGAATTGAACTAGACGACGGTTGGCCCGAGAGCGAAAAAGCCGTTTTTCAAGCAGCTCTGAGTATGGTAGTCGTAAAAAATAGTCGGTGATAGGTTGGTGAATTTTATATGAGCTATGGAGGGGTAAGTTGTGAAAAGTAAGATTGACTAAGAAGAGGATACATGTGACAACCCATGCATATGCACTGTGCTGCTTGGTAAAGGGCATCATATGACACGTGTCTTGCAACCACAGAGAGACATAGATAGAGAGAAAGGGAGAGAGAGAGAGAGAGAGATAGAGAGAGAGAGAGAGAGGGAGAGAGAGAGAGAGAGAGAGGGAGAGAGAGAGAGAAAGAAAGAGGGAGAGAGAGAGAGAGCAGGGTCTTCTGTTGTTAGTATTGAGACACTATATTGCAAGACAATATATTAAAGATGTATTTTAGGCAGGCGAGACAAGTAGTATCAAGACAATATATTACAAGTACAAACCACTAGTTTGCATCCTATCCTTCGTATTGTTTTTCACACGCAGACGCTTTTGCACAGAAGCTGTTACACACAGACGCATTTACACACAGACGCTTTTACACACAGACGCTTTTACACACAGACGCTTTTACACACAGACGCTTTTACACACAGACGCTTTTACACACAAACACTTTCACACACAGAGGCTTTTACACACAGAAGCTTTTACACACAGACGCTTTTACACACAGAGCTTTTACACACAGGCGCTTTTACACACAGACGCTTTTACACACAGACGCTTTTACACACAGACGCTTTTACACACAGACGCTTTTACACACAGACGCTTTTACACACAGACGCTTTTACACACAGACACTTTTACACGCAGACGCTTTTATACACAGGCGCTTTTACAGGCAGATGCTTTTACACGCAAAGACTTTCACAGACGCGTTTACACACAGACCCTTTTACACACAGACCCTTTTACACAGACGCTTTTACACACAACACTTTTACACACAACACTTTTACACACAGAAGCTTTTACACACAGAGGCTTTTATACACAGAAGCTTTTACACACAGACACTTTTACACACAGACACTTTCACACACAGACACTTTTACACACAGGCGCTTTTACACACAGACGCTTTTACACACAGACGATTTTACACACAGGCGCTTTTACACGCAGGTGCTTTTACACACAGAAGCTTTTACACACAGACACTTTTACACACAAACGCTTTTACACACAGACCCTTTTACACAC